TATAAGTGACTTCTCCACTGTAAGCTTCTGCTGTCAGAACAGTCTTTCCCCATTTATTCACTTCACCAGCTCAACATCTATTCCTGGATTTCTATTTCACCCTTCTTCTCCTATCTCCCATCCTTCTTTGCACTTGCTATTGGGTTTACATTGGCTAATACATCACACCGTGTCTTTCCAATTCTGTCTTGTTTTTGATGTCAAAACATACTGGATGAAGGACGATGCCAAGAACAATCACAACACATGAATAAGCAATATTTTGTTGATGCATGAATTATCATATTTAACATTGCAAAAAGTCCTGGGACACAATAAACTGTATTGTATAAAGCTCCATTGTATCACTGCAATATGTGGTTAGAGACGCAAAATGAAACTTAAAATTGCTAACGCTGATTTTTAGCCTTGCTGCTAAAAAAACCCAGAAGAAATGGGAAACAAAGGGATTAGCACTGTCCATGTCAAGAATGCCTGCAGTAAGTATTTACTCAGCCCACTGAATTACAGGGGTATCTATGCACAGCTAGTGATACAAAAGCACCTGGGGTGCCTTGACATTTTCCCATGACCTTCAAACATAATTCTAATGAATAAAAACGTATTAGGAATCATAGGCTGTTGCGGATAATTTTGGGATATTAAAGCCGCATTAATGCAAGTCCTACTCGGAAAAACACATGCAAGTGCTTTTTCTTCTTCTGTAGCAGTACCAGTGACCATCTATGTTTGTCACTACATGAAACAGAGTTCCTTCTTAAATGGCAAACACCATAGTTTTTCTGGAACTATCTTTCCTTCTTATCTTCTTTCCAAAGGGAAAAAAAGTCTTACCTGCTTATTCTGTGTGTCAAAAAACACTTCAAGACTAAAACAAATTATTAAAGAGACATAACATAAATTGTGTGTTTCTTCATCTCCTCTACCAACACCACCATGATGTTTATGTTGTGCATAATGCAATGATATATGAGATCATCAGCTTGGTAACTAAAAGCAGTTTCACTGTGCCTGTGATTGATAAACTATGGAAGTATTAAAACATTAAAAATGTTAATCTTTGTAATAATCTCCTGAAAAGTTTTTATATTAATTTAAACCATCGATCATTTTAATATTTAATCATTGCAGATTTCATTTGAAATGATAGCCATTCACTGAAAAGCACTTCATTTTTTATTTTAAAAAATGATCAGCTTGTATGCATTCTGTAAATCTCTTCACACTTCTTCCTTAATAAAAAGTAAACCTGCAAGCAAATGAGAAAATTTACAAGAGCAGAAAAATTTAAAGCAGAGTTCGTGTCAGAAAACGTGTACTTTTGCAGTCCTGTTTTACAGAAGTAACTGTATTACAACAGTAGTATCCTAAGAGGATCGGAGGATTGAGGGAGACTTCTACCGTAAATGAAAATCATCAGCTTCTTTGTCTACACCTTACAACCATCTATGTTTCATTCTCTTTATGTAGCTCGTAACACGTAAACATAACAATTTAGTTATGAAGGATAAGTACTTAATAGAGCAACTCAGCTCTCCAAGATGATATTAAACTGGTTTAGGTTTTTTCAACATGTAACCCCATTTTGTAACATTAGCCTGCTTTAGCAACATATGAAGCCTTTCCAAAGCATCCTATCCTTGTCTATAAGTCACAGCTTATTTTGCCTAATAAAAAATTTATATTAATATGGAAATATCCCAAAGGAAAACAAAACCAAGAATTGCTGAGTTATGAGAAAAATCTCATGGAAACTCTGAAATTCCAACTGTGATTAATTATGACTAATCTGGATGGTATTTGTCTGGTTTCTTTTGAAAGAGTCTTAAAACTATCTAAGAAACAAAACTAATTCATGGTATCAAGAAACAAATTTCACAGAAAAATCCAAGGGAAATGTCTTCATTGCACTGCAAAAAAACCCTCATCTTGTTTTCTATGTAGTCTACTAAAATTCGATGCTTCCTGGAGGTACTGCCATAAAGTGCACTGAGCTTAAGTTGTCCTTTAAGACTGGGCTGCAGGATTTGGCTGAAACACTTGAACCAAGTAAATCCTACATATACACTGGGCACTATCACAGCTTAATATATTAGCTTACATGACTAGTCTTTGTTCTGTATTTGTGACCAATAGCAAGTTAAAGGATTTTCCCATACCTGCTATAAAACTCGCACACAAATTGGCTTCCTTTTCTGAAGAGGCTGCAGAGTAATGGCAAGAGCTCTGAAGAAGTCGGGGAACTGGCAGAAGTGCATGTGGAATCTTCCAATGCATATAAACTTACTCTGTACAGTTCACGTTTATGAAAATAAAAAAACCAGTAATAAAAGCATTGCCTTTGTTCTTGATTTTATGAAGAAAAGTATGTATCTTGTTGCATATTACCTTTTGCTAAAGTCTGTTTTTAAGGAAAGATGTATGGAAAAATCCTGTTCATTCAATGTGATGCAGTAATTGAATTCAGGAACTCAGTTGCTTGCATCTGAAACAGAAGGGATAGTCTTGTTTTTATGGAACTTAATAGAAACACATATATGTGTTTGTATGTGTATCGATACAAGATTTAAAGTTAATTATAAGAGGAGTTTTGCCAACACTAACAGGAATCTCTGTTTTGGTAATCTGATTTGAAATAATCTTTCAAAAGCTAGATATTTGAAGAGTTCCCACATCTGTGTTGAAACAACTGAGTATTTTCTATATTGCTTTTGCAGATACAAAATACTATTTTAAACAGACTAAGAAGTCAGTTATAGAATATTGTTGTAATCTCTACTTGGTTAAATTAATAAATCAAATTCACAGAATTACAGGATCATTGATGTTGGAAGGGACCTCTTGAGGTCATCTACTTGGGTTCATCTACCCCTGCTCAAACAGGTTCAGCTAGAAGACTATACATAAATTATAAAATAAATTACAAAAAGGATTTACATATTGAAGCAAGAATAGCAGAAAAAAAGTGAGCAGCTGCCCTTTCAAAAAAAAAAAAGTGTTAATTGTTTGTGCTGGTGTGATTAATTTGTTTCAAAGTCAACGCTTTTTCTTCACTTTCTCTACACTCACACTTAAGAGTACTGACCTGAAGTAGACTTACATCTTCACGGCTTCCATGAAGACAGAAAACAAGTCCTAGAAGGGTAAACTGTACTAATTCATGATCAGAGGTAATCATGTCAACAAAAGCATCTGCCAAATTTTTCCTTAGTGAGCAGAGAAGCTATTTTCTGACCAACCAAGTCTGTCCATAGCCCGTTTCGTACCAAGAGGTGAAGTGATTCAGGCAAGGAAGAGTTGCCAAATACTACTACTTAAGAAATGGTTCAATTGTTCAATTTTCCCCATACTTGTAGATCGTTGTGCATCCCTTAAACATCACTTTCCACACTTTTCCGCTATGGAAGTCATACATCAGTAGCAAAGGCTGGAAGAAAGTCAACACATCTTTATTAACACGTACCCTTCCATTCTGATTAGCTCTTTAGGAATGAGCCTGGTCCCCAGCAGGAAAGAACTTGAGCCCTCTATAACATGTAATTGAATTACTGCGTGTGAATGCATGTGCCGTACATACAGTCCCGTTACACCACAAGATCTTTTAAAGGGGCTTTCTGGTACTACGCTCTGTCTTCGTAACTATGTAGGCTGACGTAAGGCAGAGCAGTCTGAGAGCCACACAAGTAGGCTGGCAGAAATCCCTGCTAACGCTTCACATTTAGAAATGCCGTGGCTCCCATTTTCTGTCCAGGATTTTCTGAGCGTTAAGCACGACCAGTGCACTCTGCAGAAAACACAAAGGAGTCCAATGTGCCCAGAACATATCACGCCTGCAAGGTAAACACAGCCAGCTCAACAAGCCCGGGTTTTATCTGATTTACTGCACACGCACAGCCGGCCGGCTACGTACAGCCCCGTTACACCCCGCATGTGCAGTGGCTCCAACACGTCCCTGCCTCCCTGCGCGTGGGGGGCCAGCCTACTCCACACACACACACCCACACACACACACCCACACACACAGCGCCCA